CTTGGTGTATAATGCAGCATTCTTGAGTAGCTTCGACTTTATATCAATTCATAACTGCAATTCATCTTTATTGCTTGTTTGGCGTAGAGAGAGTGYGTGTGTTTACTAGAAATATGGCACACCCTATTCGACCAATCACAACACTTTGTGCGTGGTATAATGAATTTTATGTTTGATTGATATAAAGATAAAATCATCATTTTATAATAAAGACTAAAAATCATTCTCAGTGTCATTATCGCGTATCCTCTATATTAAGAATTATTTCATATCATTCTTTATAATTTTTATAATATTGCAATATATGCCCATCGTTTCTCGATCTTTAGTCTCATTCAGGATTATAATGCGTTATAGCTTTTTCAATTTTTCTTGCCAACCAGACATGAGCGATTTTCTAAATTGCCGAACGTTAAATGACCTTTTTATTAACCCGCACAAGATCTTCACTATTAATTGTTTCAGCTTCTTCAAAAAAAAAAAAAAAAAAAAAAAAAAAAARAAAATGGTATGTATTTGTTTAAAGACATAGTGTAACTTTATTTAATATTGTTTTTTTTTTGACATTTCAGGATGTTAATTCTGCGTAAATGTTGAGAAGGACATTTATTTTCTTTTGTAGAAAACTGATCCGCGTTTGCGTTACTCATTAAAGCGGAAGCGGTGTTTGTTGGTGTTTCCCCGCACTGTCCAACTTTTTACTGGCGGTGGCACCAACGCGACAAATTTACGATATACTTTTTTTTACGTCAGTTCGAAGGCATTCAAAATGATAACGGCGCTCTTTATTTTGACTAAAAACGAACATCGGAGGCATTTCTATTGTTATTGTAAATATAAAGGAGAATTTTATAATAGAAATCATTGGTGAAAAAGAAACGAGATGTGAAAAAAAGACAAATAGAGATTCCAAGATAAACACAATTTTTTTCACGGTCGATGACATTCTAATAATAACTTCAATTTCATAATGSCCGACGACGCTCATTCACACCTCTGGAAGCCCATCCTCTTGGTTTTACTATTATTGTAATTACGAACATATCCGTTGAATTTTTAGAAAGATAAGCTCAGCTATCCTTTTATTTTTAGAAAAAAAAAAAACATGTGCAAAAATGAAAGTGTCTATTAGAGTTCTATTTCTTGTAAGCGAAGAAAATATGAATGTCATGTCATTTGTGTCATCTTGACTTCTTGAAGTTATAATAAAAGAGTTCAGCTAAGGACAAATGACTGTTTGTGTGCTTAGTATATTCTACGTATACAATTGATAAGTCTTTGCTAAGCAAACCTAAGAGTCTATTATTTTCCGGCTGATAATTCCTTAAAAATCTGTACAGAATTTATTTCATATCAATTTTGTATTTGACATGAAATATTTTCTACTTTCTCATCATAAAGGTAATAAATATTTTAATGCATATAGCTTATTCCCTAAAAGAATTTAACTTTTTTTCTGCTTTCTGATACCTCCAAAATCATGTCATTTAAAGTATGTATGTTTGTTATATATTCTTCCGGCATTCTCAATTTTCTGTTTTTCTGTCAAAAGTCATATATTATAATATAGCTGTAAGTCTCTGGACAAAATCAGTGAAAAAAAAATCAAAACATTTTGATGATTATTTTCTAGTTTAAGAACGTTTTCAACGTCCGAACCTTCACAGAAACTCATTAGCATATCAAAAGCAATCACGTACGATTGAGCAATCAACTTCAAGTATAAACGGAATCGACTATTTCTAACATTTTGAGAACCCCTCCTTATTCGACTTTTACACATCAAAGTCATTCTTTCACACAAATACAAACTTATTCCATCAAAATTCTCAATACAAATCAAAAACCGTTTTACAGTCAGCCTTCAAGTGCTGTCTCATACAAAGTGACGTCCACCTGTTCATCGACCAATCAGTGTCTTCAAGTTCAAGAACACTCAAGCTCYACAAAATGGCAAAAGGATATGRTTTTTGTTATCTCTGTGCAAACTTCCCTCGCAGTTCCACAATACCTTGAAGTGGGACGTGCTCTGTAAAGAAAATGTCACCTTTGCGGAAATGGCTCAAGCCTCATATATAGCCTCGCACTTCACACTCTAAACAACACAGTTCAAGTTGGGTGATCTATTAGCCATGGAAAGATTTTTGTTAGTTTTGGTTCTTGTAGTTTGTACCAGTTTTATCCACGAAAGCTTCTGCTACTCAACACAGTTTAGAAACATTGGAAAACGCTCATCAAAGGTAAGAAACTAAAAATTAAGGTCTTCTTCCCAAATGGTAGAACAAACATAGGTTCGCCACCTCAGTTGTATAGTCTTTGTTGTAAAGATTGTTTTGTAAACATTATAAATYAAAGTTTTGCAGGCGATTATGGAATGAACAAACACATAGATACAATGGTATTTAAAAAAATCGATGGCAAATCCAAAAAAAAAAAAATTTTGTAAATGGCCTTATGATTTTTGGTTATAGTTATAGATTATAACATTTGGAAATTGTTATACAGCAGATTTATCAGAACTATCATCTATTTTATACCTGATGTCATCTTTAAAATGGACTACACAAAGAGTACAATAATAGCTCTTTTATTTATTTAATTTTGTTTTTCTTATATTTCAACAAACAAATTGTTAAGCATAAAGAAACGTTATAAATCATTTTTAATATAAATTAAAATGATCGTTTGAGGCGAAATTCGAAGAGCACATTTACAATGAAAACTGCATTAAAAAAGTAAAGAAAAGAGAAAAAAAGGAAGTGAAAAACATAAAAAAAAAAAAAGAAAAAAATGCAAAAAAAAAAGTGTCAGGAGAGGTGTGTGTGGACCTTGGATATACTCTCGTGCAACATAGCAAGACACTTGAAAACGTTCCAAGTTATCGCTATCGGATAGCAAAAAAAWTCATAATGTCAGGAAGTTCGCGAGACGATTAGACTTTGAGGGACAAATGRCGGTCACCTATCAAATCTTTCTTGCTTGATGTAGTGCCCTTACACTTATGACAGGTGGTMCCCAATCCCCCACATAAAGAAATACCCTTTTTTTCCCCAACAAGTGTTATTATTATCTCTAAGGTGTTTTCATCCGTTCTGAGTTTTTTCCTAGTAATTTCTTTTCATATTACATAACATGACAAATCATTCACTAGTCATRAAACATACTGATATTGAACGTTGTTCTTACTTCGAAAAAACTGAGATGTCACATGGAGAGCCGCCCCTATGGAATAATCCAGCAAGCGCTTCTTTAGTGCAATATCAACAGTGCTCAATATACCGACGAAACGTGTATGTATGTACGGAATCGATTTTTCGACCACTTTCAATGGCCACAAGCCATATAAATGGTTACAGATACATATTATAGACCTTTTTGCGGCTAAAACCAAAGCTGGCAACATGACGTTTGCTGCAGCCCTCAAATGATCAAGAGTGACAGTAATATCAAAATTATAATGACATTTTTCACCATTAAAATATTTTTTCTTACATTACAAAAAGATAAAAATAGCTTGAAAAATGACACCTTTTTGGGTTGTTTCCCGATTTTGCCTCTCTTTGTTACGAAATCACAGTCTCCTCGAGCAACTTGCTTCCTAACCGCGAAAAGGGTTATTGAAATAACACTGTTGCAAAACATCGAAACTTACAACGAAAGGGAAGGACTCCTCAGAAATTCTAATCGTATTTGCGTAAACACATTATAATTACATTGGTCATATTGAAATTTATTTTATTTAGAGCAGGCAAACTTTTGACACTGAAACACTAAATGTTTCCTTTCCAATGCCCCCTTTTACGCTTTGAAACCGACTACGTTTTTCAATCAGCTGTATACCACGAATCTAATAATCACTAAATGACAAAGAGTAGCGCTATAGGAATGACAAGTGGAGGGCGAGTACTATTTAAGGACCTTTAAGGAAAAGGAAAACTAGCCCATACGACAKCAGCCGAAAATATTGTTTGATAGCATCGTTAACGGAAGAAATATTTCCTTTGACTAAAATACTGAAGATTGCGCTCAATTAGTTGTAGGACGATAGGCGGTGGTCATTAAAAATAGCAAAATKGCGAGTGTCAGATTCAGTRCAATGTGATAAGATCATWWAAGATCGTTTCTCAAACCACGAGATCGTAATCTTGGGAGGGTTTCTTTTTTCTTCTTCGTCGTCTTAGTCTTCTGATTTCTGTTAAGTTCACAATCAATTTTGAAAGGAATATCTTATAATCTGAGCTGAGGAATTTYCTTACAGTTRAAGAGCCAGTTCATTCGTCGGCTCTGTACGATCGTAAAACGGTAGCGACGACGGAAGAGATGARTTGGTGAGACAAARAAGAAWTTTAGATCGTGTATCTATTGCCGCTTTGTGCTGCTCTGTAATATATAGGTGTTTGGGTGAAAAATAAYCCTAGAMATAAACCCCTTGGTCTTTTTTTCCAAAATTATACCATTAGTCCATATATGGCATATCAGCATTAACTTAGTATCCACCAAAACCATGGGCTAATCCAGCATTCCTATATGCTACTGAACTATAGTTTATGATAGACCATATGGTATTATCGAATGAAGCGAAACTAGTTGCGAAAAAAAGTCGTAACAAYTTTTTTTGTTGATAATAAAACATTTAGATCACTCGATCGTGTGAACTACGAGTTGATAGTAAAACTCGTAGTCCACTCCACCTCGATCGCTGACTAATGGTTTTACCCAAAACCTATAATTAGGTACGTACCGTCGGGGTAAACTTGGACTTATATTTTGCAGTAAGTCTGCAATGTAGTTTACTTATATGATCGCTCTAACTGTTTCATGCGCATATTTCTATTGTTCAGGYTTCTTTATGACATTTATTTATGCTATCTGGAAGATACGACAGRCCTTTTAATTTTGAAACTAATGCATAGCTGGTATCACACTCTGAATGAGTTTTTTGCTTGTTTTTTTTGCTTAGTCACCAGGAAATACTAACTAGATATAGTTATTCTAGCTTTTATTGAAAGGTAATATGAAAATGACCCTGCTATTTAAAACATTGATAATGCGCATGGGCATAAAAGAGGCGCCACTGTGTAACTTGCCTGTAACCCAAGCATGGTAATATGTATAAGCCAAATTATTMATTTTTTCTCTTCTCATATTTGCAGAATCGACTAAGAGGTCTTAAAGCTCAATTGAATAAGTTCTTCGAGACAGCAAAACAGATTRATTGTAAGCAAAATTTGGATGTGACGGACGAAGACGTTCTAAAAGGACAAAGAACTATGAATTTYAAAGAAAAAAATTAAGATATCTTCATGTTAATAGTATGCTGCTGTTCCGAAGATAAACATATGTGTAATAAGCAATAAATGGCTTACAAATATTTTAAACATTTCACTATAACTTGATTATATCTTTATTAAAACATGCTGTTGATAGTATTTCATCATTTAATTTTATAAAGATACTTCAGTTATATTTGGTATTGTACGCGCTGTGATTGGTCGAGAACTTCGTTAGAATGATAGTATGTAAGCATGGTTTTTGCTCAACCATCTTTGGAAAGGCCACTTTCTAAAGAAACAAGCAGTTATGAAATCTTCTTAACGTACACACACAATATACGAACATAATGCCAGCTTATCAATCAAACCTTTTATCCGAATTCATTACTTTAAATTCTAAAATAATACTTTTGTTTCTAAATCTTGGCCGCCATTTTGAGAAAAAACCGCTGTGGCATCATACATTATAACAAGCGCTGTGATTTGTCAAAAAGCATGTTGTGATGAGAGTATCAAGCACGCTCGCGCCATCGTTACTTTGTGGATTGTATTTTCATTGTGAATTGTTAAAATACTCTAGTTTCGAATTCTCTTTTGTCCAAGCTTAGCGTAAATCAAGCATTGTTTACATAAATTCCATTCTTTCGAAGTTAAGGCTGCGCAAATAAGATCTCGAAACTGGGCTATCGGCTAGAAGTTCAGGGAAGGAATTCTAATTTTGTCCTTTCGTGGCGGGTGTTTACACATTACGACTTTTTACGGCTTGAGATGTACATAATTATACACAATCTAAAAAATGATTGCCAAAGCATTTAGCCGAATTCATTACCATAGATTTCTAGAATACATCTCCCGAATATCAACAACGGAAATCTGTTTTATAGGCCTAATTTCAAATCAATAAATTGCCGAGAATATAATGTTTTCAATCAGTCAAAGCAGAAGACATTCCGTCTTGTTTTATCTACCTTTTTTCGAATATTATTCATCCTTGTCTTTCTAGACAAACACGTAGTTAATGCTTTATCTAGGAACTCTATCGAATCCCCCGAAGCAGTCCATGAGTCAAGCCACAAATTTTGATTTTCGTAGCACCCCCCTCGGGACAAAGTGAAGCTAGTATCAAATAAAAGTACATTAAATGTACTTTTAGAATTCACATGTTTACATTTTTCAAATTGGAGCACTGGCGAAAAAATTGATGAAGTTTTTGGGGGTATGGTCGGGAAAAATTCTGCATGTAAAATATCCCGATCCATACTATGGCCTGCTACTCTAACAAACTTAACCCAAATAAGCTGAAATTTATGTCAATCGTTGAACTTCGAGAAGACGACGCTTTCGAATCCAAAAGGCGACTAATAAAATCATCGTACTGTTATAGCACTCCAAATGCAGTTTTAGAACTTCGTTTTGAGTTTTAGTAAGATAAGAGTCATTTAAACTTGCAAAGTTTCGTATCTTTTTGTCATGTCACGATTGTGATCGTAGTTGTCTGTTGTGCGCGTGACACACAGGGTGACCTCAAGTATGAAATATATAAACGACAGTATGATATGAACGAGAGCAAAACAAATAGAAAAGAAATGATTACATTAAAATAATATTGAGAAAACTTTATTTCTGTTTGTTTTATTGGAAATACAAGAAAACAAACTCACCCGACTGACTTATCTCCTTTTCCCTCCCTGACACATGCATGCAGCCGTCTATCTAGCGCATGCACCGCCAAAGGAATTGTAACTAGACGCATAGCTGCGTGAACTCGGGGTTCTGCTTGAATATATTAAAACGATGAAATGACAACAATGAGTGTTGTAGTCGAAGAATTGAGAAGAATTGGACTATATTGAACCTTAATAAAGTTAATAGTCATACTATCAAAAGGCGTAAAGCAAAAAAAAAACTTCCTGGAATAAAAATAATTAAAAAAACAGTGTACTCAGCATAAATATTATGAAAAAATTGATCATCAGCAAGCCGGTCTCACTTTGATAGTCACATGACAGGCTGTAAACACAGAGTCTTTTATCTTCTCCGCTCTTCCATTCGTCGGCTTTTCCTCAGAAGAACTCTGTTCGCATTCCTTAGACGAGACCTTAGTAGCTTCAGAGCCTGCATAAGTTCGTATATAGTTCGCTTGTGCTAAGATAGGTAGCTTGTTTGATAGACAATTCTCGATAGACTCGATCTCGATAAACAGTAAGATAAATTCTCGATAAATTTACGGTATCTCCTGAAATTCCTTTTTCGGAAAAACGCTCGTCATATTTTAGAGTGGCTATCCCACGAATGTGTGGATATTTTTAAGTGATTTGAGCGTATTTGTAGATGTTGAATTTCTGTCGTTGAGTGAGTCTTATTAACGTTTAAAAATATGCGACGCAATACTGTCAAGCTACTAGTACTTGAAACACGCCAAATTAACCTCGGAAAGCCTATAAATCTTAAAACAAGTATAGTCTAAGCATTAAATTAAATTTTTAGAATGATATTGTTAGAAAACTGAAGCAAAATCGTTAGTTTTGAGCTCATTTCGACACTCGGAGTTACTGTCCGCGTGGTTGTGTACTGGATAGTACACCATCAGGGCTTTCCCATACATTCGTAAAGTAAGACCATATTCAAACGCTTATATTTTTGTTAAAAAATCGCAGTTTGACTTCAAACTTTGCATAACTGTTGGGAATTATATGCTGTTTTTGGCCATGAACATAAAAAATTCATTTAGATCTTAAAACACAGCCTTTTGTAGGTATTTCTTGACCTGTCTAAAACGCATTGAGCCGTGATAATCCCATACATTCTTACCAATTTTCGTTTGCTTGTATTTCTGTTAAAAAAGCATTATTTTGGCTCAAAATTTCGCAATAATACTTTAATTTAGATTTTCTATCGAGGACAATAATAATATTTYGCTRATTTGGCCTCTAAATAGCATTTTTAGAATATCACGTGATTATGAGCTTGGGCTACCTGTGGACAATTTGTGACTGATAAGCGACAATGAAAAAAAATAAGAAAAATAAGAAAAATAAGAAGCCCGAAATTTAAACTCGCGGTTAGACAGGAACCCCGAGTAATTAATGACAAAAATTGGGATATGAAGAAAATATTTGTTTCGTACTATCTAGGCGAGCAAATTTGGCATAAAAGTTTTTATCTGATTATTGTGGCAATTTTGTTGGACATAATATAAACTATCTAAATCCGCCGCTGCTGTCGTTGATATATTTCGTACATGAGGTCACCCTGTTTTTTAATCGACTTAAAAAATACACCATTAGTGAGAGGTCATGTCAGGAGCCCATTACTAGGAGCCTTCCTCTTCCCATGGGCTTGTGGAACGGCATTTACCCCTCTTGGTGCTATTTTTAGATTTTATTTTTAGAGTTACCTTAAGCTTTACGGAATTTCGGCGCCTTTTTTCTTGAACAGCCGATAAACAGTCCTCTAAAATGTTGTTGTTTTATGGTCATATAAATTAGTCAACCCAAAAAGAGTTCCATTCAATGTCCATTTGCATGTAAAAATTTGCAAGCTTAAGTTACTTGCTTCAGTCATGTTCAGTTTGCTCAAGTTTGCTCAAGTTGAAAATTTTCCGCTTTTGTACAATTTGAACCTTCGTTCCTCGTCTTCAACAGCCATTTGATTTCAAATTCTGGTTATCAGTTAAAGATCCAGAGTGTGATTTGAGTCGATTTGTGTTGCTTTTGCTGTCCAATGAATCATCAATTTTCTCGCCAGTGCTCCAATTTGAAAAATGTAAACATGTGAATTCTAAAAGTATATTTAATGTACTTTCATTTGATACTAGTTTCACCTTTCTAGGCATCTTTTGAGACTTGGCTCATGGACTAAAGAGTGTTGAAATTATTTCGGACACCCGAAAAGTGTAGCTTCCCTTACATTGTTCGCTTGGCAATACCTACAAAATGATTCAGAGGTCCGTAATTTCATAGGTTTCTTCCTTTTCCTGAACAAAATGCTTATTACAACAAAGCGATCCAAATTACGTCAATTTAGTGAATCAATTAAGATCCTGTAAAAGTCAAAACAGCTSAGGTTCAGGTTTACAGGAAAGTGCAGAGTGACTGAGCGAGTGACAAATTTTTGCATTGAAGGAATTAACATAAAGAAGTTAGGTGATACGTAAACATGTAGATCAAGGCAATTCTAATATATTAACTGTACTACTAAGAACGTCCTTCGTGACTTTCCAAAATAATTAAAAGCAGTGTAGCCCACAGCAAAGCAATGGATACAGGTATGAATTCACGTACTTAGTATACTTAGGTTTTTGCTTATTGTTTTGTTGTTTGTTACATATATATCGAATACTTGCTACTTGGGATAAAATTACTGGCGTCACAACAAAAATGTTCTCTATAACATATTATAATATATTATTTATGCCATCCAACGCGAAATCAAATTAAAATGAGACCCCGTTAAAAGCTCAAAAGTTTCAAGTAATACATATAGGAAAATCACATTTATAAAACAATTAAGAATATAATGCGAGGGGAGTAAGTTAAAAAAGTCGTTATTAATATTGATTGTCTGCAACCTTAAGTGTCATTAGATTTTATAGATTGTATTTAGCGAGTAAAATCTCTTCTTTCCTCCATGTATATGATGTACATACAGACTACCTCTCATGTACACATTGGAGCTTCATAATGATGTACACAATTTAATGTGCTTATTTACGAGTTTCCATACTCAGGTTCGGTGACCATGAACAAAGCATTGAACCGAGGCATCAAGGTTCACTGAGCATAAAAGAAAATATCTGTGATCAGTGTTCCTTGACGCCTTGGTTCTATGCTTTGTTCGTGGTCACTGAACCTGAGTGTGGAAAGTCGTGAATTGATAAATGATCTCGTGAATCTCATGGGAATGGTTTAAAACGATCAACTAGGTCTAATTGATCATTTTCAACCATTCCTATGAGATTTAAAAGATTAAAGACTGGCGGCCATGTTGGAGGATCAATGAAGAATTGTTCCTCCAAGATTGCCGATGTTGCATACAGTGAAAACGAAGAATATTTATGTTTATGGAAATATAGTTTAGGTAACGAGTAGCTTAGTGCTTGATTCTTCATACTCGCAATTATCTTTTTAGTTAGTTTTAAATTTAGACTTTGATATTTTTCTAAGCTCTTCTTTAAATAACGTGTACATAAGACGAGACCTTCAATATGTACATTGGTGATCCTGTATATCTACACCCTCTAAATTCTTCACTATAACCGAGGGATTAAAGTAATAAACTTAAAGAACTTTGTACGCTGGTGGTTCATTGATCGACGGAATATATATCGATCAAAAACGGAAAAACTGGTAATCATCTATCAAGGTAGTATTTTTGAAGAGGAGAGAAGCACATTGCCGAAGGGGCAATTAAAAAAAATAATGTGTGCACTGATAGCGTGAGCTTATAATTCTATAATTTCGATTAATCTGGCTAGAAGACAAATCGTTTCTGATTTTTAAGAGCTTACTAACGTCATCCGGAACAGATTAATATAGAAATAAATTTGAAACAAAAAAGAAACTTTTTGAACCATGAGGTTGAAAAAGAAAAAGAAAAAAAGAAAAACCAAACAAACAACAAAAAACAAATCCGGCAGAAAAATTGAAGTACCTGGTTGTAATAAATACACAATCAGTAAAACTTGTTCTTAAAATAGCTAAAGATGTATTCTGTTCATATTTTATTATTACATTTTGGTTGATAACATCAATAACAAAAATTGTAAGGATTTTGGTACTATGCTATATCTCCACAGCCGGCTAAGCGCGCTGCTTGACACAAATGACTCCATTTAATAGGCCGTTGCTTTATCCTGGATTCTTTGACATTTACGTGTCTTCTATTCTGAAAAATACAGTAGAGGAAAAATGTAATGTTTGTTGCACTGTTTACATATACAATATTTAAAAAAAACGTTGAATACGGATGTTGTATTTTGCATAGTGATTCAAAGACCGCAATGCATTGCTTCCATAAAACTCCAACTTTCAACGCAGTGACTGCGTTACGAGAAGGACAATTCTATAAACTTAATTACTTTCCATTTAACTTATTGAAGTTTTTGACTGTTGGGAGCTAGACAGTCAGTTTGGCATGAAGAAGTCTCCAATTCAACGGCGAAAGAGTGGCGAACAATGCATTTCGGTCTTGGAATACACTATTCTCAAGTATTCAACGTTTTCAGAAATAGCTGTATCTATTGATGTTGAATTATCCCTCGCTTTGGCCTTATTTCAGCTGTAGAAACTTTTTAATTAAACTGAACTTCTGTGTTACAAGAACAGACTGTCAGCGAAAAGTATTAGAACTAAATGACATGACCCTGTCTTACATCCAATATTTTGATGACTTTGATGCKCCATACAGTAACCTCACATGATAATACATAGGGTCAATTTTGCATTAATTTATAATATTTTTTTCCTTCACTATGTCTGTTTCGCTTTTTCAGTAATTTGAAAAAAAAAAATGGTCAAATTCTAAAAATTTTACTTTTATACATTTACTATATATAATGCGGCTGCAGAAAAGAGATACTCTAAGTATTAATTTTTAACATTAGTTAAGTAGTAATTACAGAATTAAATACCATTTTTTCATCTGTTCCCTTGARCAATCTTTTACCAACTTGGGCAGAATAACCTCTGACTCCATTGTGGAAAACAAGAAACGAAAATATTAACATAAAACAGAGTAGTGATGGAAGACTACTGTTAGCCATGTCTTTTTGTGACTGAGGTCAGGCGACAGTCTTCCACGAGCTCACTAGTTTTCAAATACTGACAAATGTCTACAAACCGCCCGCTTTTAAGTATGCACAATGGAATGCATAATTTGACTTGATTTGCCATGAACGARACTTCTTAAAAAYTGTGCTACTTCTTCCTTTGGAAATTGTCAATTGGTTTAATTACACATTGGCGTTTACCGGTTATTGAATATGATTCGTGGGAGTTCTAGAGCACACAAAATGTCCACCTGTTTATCTACCCCGATCAATTGGTAATTACTTCATGCTTTGCTCTCAAAACTCAAGAGCTTTATATCTACCTTCTCACCCATGGATAACAATAAAGAAGGGAAATGAAGCTCTATGAGGTTCTTCCAAAATGGCTTTATCTATATCTTAAATTAGAAAAAAACTCAAAGGAAAAATCTTAGGAGCAGTGGGAGAGTGATGTCAAGAACTCTTCCGGGAAAACTGTACGAGATAAATAAACAATTGTTTTAATGAAAGAAACCATTTTATCCGGTCATTGTAAAATTTTGTGATCTGTACTTGACAAATCCATTAGCTAATAATGAAAAATATAAAAAAGAAAATATTGAGCTTTCAGAAGAATGGACATTTGCTCACGCAGGTGGTAGAAAAGTGTTAAATTGGCTTAATTTCAAAGCAAATAMGGACAATGAACACTTGTATTTGATGTCATGGATAATTTTCAGTTCCACCTTTTATTATAAGCTGACAGGAACTGTACTTCTTGGTTACCCGGAAAATGTMTTCATGCTTAGCTTCTCTTGTAATCTATGAAATCGAGTGTCTAAGAAACATTATTAAAACATATCACCCTATAGTGCTGAAGAGTGCAGCTGTGGCTTCGGATTTAAAATTAGATACATCATGAGATATTTGATGCACCGTTGTTAGCTTTAACCAATAAACTTTAACACTTTGGTCATTATAGCTTTGTTTAATTGATATCTTTTMATTCAATAATATATATGTGTATCTATTCAAAATATTCTATTGATATGAAGATTAATTTTGAAGCAGGCCTAAATAACTGCAAAAACATTGCATAATWAACTGTGTCAATACCATCTCAGACAACTGGAGACAACATTTTGCTGAAATGCACGTCCTATATCTTTTAGAAAGAGGRTGGAATATTAGAAGTGCAGTTACGTAGTCAGGGCTAAGTGTAGCTAAAAATATATGATATATTTTAGTAGTGAAATCCCACGCCTTTCATCATTAAAATGAATACTATATTTCCATACCTTCTATATTTAAAGTGAGTTTAATAATAATCTTATGATTTCAWTATTTTATATTTGATTAGATGGAAATTAGAAAAAATTGAGTCTACTTGTTTTCGATTGTATAGTCCAACGACAACATCAGTCAATGGTAAACGATGTATGAACAGATTTCCTATTAGTAAAATATGCATTTGGTTGAATTATCCTTCTTAACCCCTCCTCTAGTAGCATTTTTACTGAGTTATTTGTCCTTTGTTTTGGGCTTTCAAACTCACAATATTCTCCTTTTTCTCTCCCACTTTTAGACTTCATTTTGACCGTCTTCTTATGTCTCTATTTACCGTTTTTCATTGACAGGCGTCTCCCACATTCATTAGTTTCTTGCTATTGTTGTTGTTGTTGTTGTTGTTTTCATTTTTGTGTGTGTATTTTTGATCTAAATTTATAATTTTTCCCAATGAAGGTAAACTATAAAGATTTAAAAACAAGCTAAACGAATATTTTGAATTGATGATATGCCAACTGAACAATCTACAAAGTCATCTTAGGATTGTTTTTGACACTTTCTATCTTCAGAATCACTATGTCATTGGGCTATTCTGACTTTCCCTTTTTCGGTATTTTTTTTCAAGAATTTTTGGCATTCATCAGTAATTTCATTTATGTCTTATATGTGTTTATCACTTAGTTATCCATATTCTGCTGTATTTCTAATCACTTTCGTTAGTTAATATATACCGAAGGCAAACATGATTTGCTTCTATGAATAATAATAATACGATAATGAACACAAACATGATTACATGGTCGCTTTGAGTTATGACTTTTATGTACGCGTGTTTAAAAAAGTTCCTACGTCCTCTCGTCAGAGATCTTTTCAACACTCGAAGACAAAATCCGTATCTGCACGCGCGCCGATGTAGTTTCCTCTCTATATGATATGCATATATCTCAATCTCCCTAACGAAACTTGTAATTGACTGCATTATATCAGATCATTCACACCTGATATAGTTATCCTTAAATCAGCTATATAATTTAAGAAAGTTTGTTCTGATAAATGAAATTGAAAAATGCCTAGACTACTCTAGTCGATTTTTATAAATCTTTATAAAGTATCAAAACGAAGCTGTGTTCTTCACTGTCACAAAGGCTTTATTAGAAGTCAGCTGCTAGGAATGAGCCCTTTATTCCGATATTTCCAACTTAATCGGTTCATGGCGTCTTCTTCCTATTGAATACAAATTGCTTCACCAATTATCCTTCCTTTGCAAGAGCAGATTTTAACACTAGCGCTTATCCTTATCAACCTCCACGAATCAATACAGCGGTTATCTTTCTACCTTTCCAATGAGTTGATATTAATCATTGAATTTTGTATATTAGAGTTTTTCGTTTATTTTTGTTAACTTCAYGGACTTTGAAAAGGCCGATATAGTTAAGCATTCGTAATAACGAATCCCAGACAGGATTATAATAATTATAGTAACGGCCGGCGTGTGTTTCTATGACGGATTAAAGTGCGCTTTAGAAGATCAGACTGAATCATGTGAGCTGCTCAGCATACAAGCAGTYAAACAAGGGTGCAGCATGCCTGGATTCATTTTCTTTATAAAAAAGGAATGGATATAAATAAATGAGAACGAATCGCTTTCAGCTCGTTATTCAAAACCATTCTCGTGTAACCCAACAGTACTGTGTGTTTCTAATAGAGGATGGAAATACTGAAAACATATTCTAAACTCGGTGATCATCAAAAAGAGAACTTAAGCGTARAATGCTTAAAATTCTAATTTAAACTGCCTTATTTTAAGTGTGCGAAGAATGGAAACTGAACAAGGGAAATTGAAGATCAACGGATCACAAATAGGCCTAAGGAGAGTCATTAGGACAAAGTGGATTAAAAATTACGTCACTACCAAAGAGCTACTCAGGAAGGCAAGCACCCATGAAGCCGTTGAACAAGGAGGTTAAGATGCGGAAAACGGACGATGATTTTACTCTCCAGAAACATAGATGGAGTTATACTATAACATAGTATTAAGGTGGATGCCTTAAGAGAAGGAATACTGGAAGAACTAAGGCAACCTGGAGTGTATAGCGAGAGGAAAAACCGAGGGATGGCAAACATGAGAAAAATCAATAGCTGCAGCAGGCAACAAATCCCTAAGGAAATCGTTTTGCGGAGGCTTTACGTGCCACAAGCCATGAATAAAAGAAGAGGAAGAAAATTTGAAATGGTCATTCCAAAACTCATAAATTAATCTATGGAAGACCAATCCGAGCACAAATCTCGATATCCTATAAAACAATCTCTCTTGTAACAGTCTGTGATAAGGCCTTCATTCAGGTGGATCCCTTGGTCATCGTTAATTCCTCCCAAAACGAAAAGTTAAAACCTTTCCAGAAAAACAAAATGAAGAACAGAAGACTAAGAACAGGAAGAAAAACAAGACGACAAAAAATGGAAGAACCAAAAAAAGGAGAACAAGAACTTTCAGAACCAGAACGATAACAAGATTCGCCGCCRAGTGTCCGATACACCCATAAATAATAAATAAATAAATAAAAAGTAAATAAAATAAAATAAAAACAACAAGAGGGAAAAGAGCGAGACGAATCACTAGGAATAAAAACCACTAGAATAGCCTGACAGAAAAAAACTCTACTTTCCATTTCTTTTTACATGCCCTTTGTTCATGACAGAATACTGATTCATTTACAGAGTTCTGATAGGCTTGCGGAAGTTGATTCATTATGATTGACGCCTGACCATGGCTTGCTTTGAGTCTATTGAGTAATATCACATTTCTTGTCTTTCCCTGGCTGTGGAAGATCCTGCTCCAAAACTGCCAATATTGGCAATATTTGACATTCAAAGAATGCAGTCGAAGCAATATTTTTCGTGAAGGTGACTTTTTGATAGTAGATGGTACATGGAGCATGTTAAACTTGCAGTTATGACCAACGATTTCGGTAAATTATTGTTTTTAGATTTGCAGATATTTTTTTCGTTTGTTTGTTTGTTTGCTTTGTTGTTGTTGTTGTTTTTTTTTTTGGCTGTAGATTGCCTTTTTAATCTTAAAACTTTACCGAAAAGATTAATGCACATAGAGTAGGATACGATTTACAAACTTAAATGAAAGGAAACAGGCAGTCTTCATATTTACGAATATCTAAAACAATTAATTGTACACGGTTTTGAGTTATATGTCCCTCTTATTGACACACTCTTGAAGTCATAAAATCTTCAAAAGCTTAAGTGGCATGGGCCCACGATCGTAGCAACTTTTCAATGATTATTTTGCCTTATTTTTAGTCTTAAAATGAGCGAAATCATTCTTTTTAACTGCACACGCGCGTTCGGACATTATGATATAATGAATACAATGTTTCTCTCCTCATATAGACACAYAGTAATCATCCAATCAGAGAGATTCCAGTTGAACATGATCATCATACAGAGTTAGAMTGGTCATGTGAATAGCCAAAACTCTAGAACCTTTCCTGAGCCTTACCCTTAAGAATTTCTGCTCCTCAAAAGATAAGGAGTTTGTCAATAGAACACTATTGTTGATTTAAAATCCCAAGGGAGTGTTGATGGAAGTAACACGTGTGGGAAATGAAAATATAATGCAACAATCTTCTATTCAACAGCTGATTTATTGTCGTAATGTCGTTGTTAACATTCCACGTTTTTCTTTATTGCAACTGCAATATGTTAGATGTTCTCGTAGTACTTGTATTTCTCGAGGATGTGGCTTATCTCATTAGGATTGGTTCTCTCTTGGGATTGTGAAAACATCCAATCTTACTTGCCATTTGACATACATCATATTTTAAGTTCTGTTGGAGACAAAGTATTAAAATTAACCACCTTAGATGACTAGAGTTCAGACACTAAAAGCAAGATAAACTACTACCGAATAGTAGTAAATAACGTAATATATACTATACATTAGACGATAGAAAAGAAAGGAATTCGTATAATTCAATGCATCGAATCTATAGCATTACTTAGCCTTTTCCGAAGGCAACTTTATAAACTCCTTTCTTTTAATTTACAAGCGGTTGGGCTTCCTTTGATGTATCTATTGGCAAGATAATTCAGACGCTGCTTACTTTAGCCTGCAAACTGTCGTCTTTTGTATATTTGTTCCCAGACTTCCACAGAGGGAGAAAGAGTATGAGAGAGATGCGGAGGAGGCTAAGCATTACTTATTACTATTTTTTTTCCATGTTTTTAGTGTTTACCCTCCTCTAATCATTATTATTGATTAATATCATTACAAATATATAGCAATGATAATATATTGTTCTTTCAATAAATCTAGAATATCACCCTAGTCTTATAAAGAATAAAATACACGTCAAATGATTCTAAATGAGTCATAATTCATTGCAAGGATTATTACTAAATTTCCTTACAGTYTCAGTGTTAGGTTAACTTTGATAACCAACAAACCGTTACAACTAAATTGCCTTATAACTTTTCTTTATATCATATTTATAAAAGGTATACCAGTTGGTTAGAACCCAAGACTACATAAAACTGGCAGTCATCCCTTCCTATAAAGGTGTGTCAATGAAAGTCCWACTGCATGACTTGCTATTTCAGATCTTCTTATAATGTCTTACAGYCTTTTCTAGTTTAACATAGCTAAAATTACTTTCTGCCTAGTGTACATGGGAAAATACTAAATTGGAATCAAAAAGATCATTTCGAGGATGGTCAATAAAATTATTGTATTTTGTATTTTATGAAATTCAGTACCTCACAATTGGAATATTGAGATCTTCTTCCCTTTGTTAGCCCTGATGATACACCTGCAACCAAAGACTGGGTTAGATGTGGCAAAGTCATCAGTAGTACCATTGCAAGGCATAACGTTTGTCGAGACAGGATCATGTCCACTATAGTAAAAGTCTCAGATGTTCGGTGTTAAAGTGACCTTGATGATGCACGACTGTTCTTTTATAATTGGTGTGTTCTGATTGGGACACAAGTTCTCATTTGGTGACCTTTGTCTTATTTGTTCATGGATCTATTCCTTGCGACCTACTAACAGAATAAAAAATTAAAGCGCTCAAGTTAAGCATGGCCGTAGAATGGATGGGCGTAGATTTGATTACAGAGTTTAGAAAAGTCGCTGTCCTATCATTTTCTTGCATCAGTTGGTCATCTACATTRATTAAAAATATAGACGTTCAGTGCAGCATTATTCCCTTGAATGATAAGAAMATTATTTTGATACCAAGTTAAACTGATCTTATGGCAGATTATCTTGCATTTTCGTTAATACTTGTTAAGTGACACCTGCAAAGTGAGAAAAGTTTTTTTCTTTGAAAACCGGCGTACAGGATGTCCAAAGTACCTAAACAATAATCTTATGCCAAATTAATATCAATAAAATATTCTTCTTTGCCGGCATATTAGGCGATATGATGAAATTGTACATCATGGTTGATATCTCGGCTACACAGTGTCTTATCGTTAAACATGCGAAGAAGCCACTTGTGGTTAAATTATAAGCAATTAGATCCATCACGTAACTGAAAATTAAGAATTTAATTCTGATACAAAACTGGCTCCCTAAATCGACCTAAAGCCTTCCAACTTCATACCAGTAACCATTATTTGTAATYTGTGTTGATATTTTTCCTGTGCTTGAAATGCAGACATCACCGGGAGACATCACTCTTAGCTTTAAGGACCTTTCAGGATATGGATATAGTACTTAGGTATGATATCTCTATTAATTAGAAGTGGTTTTATTAGCTCTTTCAAAGTCAACACACTATAAAACGATAAATAAGACACAACAGGACATGATGAATCGCACATAGTAAAGACTATTTGATATTGATTCATGGGTAAAGTTMTAATCAGCAAAAAAACAGATAGCAAATTCTTGCTTTGTGGATGGAATGGAAACATTCTTTTGTCTTTCTCCTGATCTCCAAAAACACAAAAGCAACTGTAACATTTTAGTTCAGAAAGTTATCCCATCATTTATCGAATATAGCTTCCATAGCCGGTGAAATAAGTTGGTACTTAATAAAAAGTATGGGACAATCTTGTACACCAATACCGTATATTAAAATCTGCAGCATCAGTACCCATTTACACAGTATCAAATTAAAATTGTCATTTTTTCACATGGTAAGGAGGTCAATATTCTTTTTTTAGTACCGGCCATAAGTTATAGATATATGTGTAATTAATTTTCCTATTCATCTTATGCTCCATGATGGTACTTAAGCTTCCATGAAGAAGTATTAACGGAGGATAAAGCACAAAAGAATTACATATCTCTTCTCCATAAAGACAACATCTTTCATTAGAGGTTCATTACACACTGTCCGTGTCTGCATAGAAATTGATGGATCTTATGCCGAATCAGCTGAATTCTTTTGTGTAGATTTGCTAGTCGTTCATGTTTGTTGAAATTTTGGATACTAATAATAACAACAAAACAAAGAAATTATAAAAATTATAAAAAAATATAATTTTAACCTATCTTTCTCTTTTTAAAAAAATCAATGATTATTTTCAAAGGTAAAAATATCACTTTTGGGCAATCCTTAAGTATAGTCGGCTCCTAAACACTAAAAATTAGATTTAAAACGATCTTTTGAGATTCGCTTTGAGGTTTGTCATTTTATCTTCTCGTGCTGAAAACTCTCACTCGTTCGCTACGCTCACTCTTCAGAGATCCTTTCAACACTCGAAGATAAAATCCGTATCTCGGCGAGCCCATGAAATATCATCTATATTATAAGATATAAAGATATATCTATTTCACGACATCCGTGTGTGGTTTCATCAGAATGTTTTTTACTAAGGAACATGTCTGATGAAACAACACTTCAGTATTCTATTTTTAGTAGTCCCGATGGTATAAACTTCCACATCTATACCAAATATACAGCAATATGCAGAAATTGCGATAATTATGACTCATATTTCAAGTATATATAAAATGTGTGCACGAACCACAAATAATTTAAGACTGAGTGGAAATATCCTGTCCATCCGTGGCCGCATTGTATAAGTATGACATTCCAGYAATAGCAGCAGTGAGGCTCCCTTCTATACATATAACAACACCTTAACCATTTTTCATTCAAAGTTTATTTATTCATCAATAATTATATTCTAAGATTTTATCAAATACAGATTTTCTTTTTTTGTCCTTTGCCTTTGAGATTCTGTTGTCGATGTTCAGGGTTTGTTTCAGTCTTCTTGAAAGGTTCCTTCTCTTTTATGATTGTTATAACAACCAACTTTCATCGCCATTTGGCACACGAATGATCTCATGCCCTGTTAAAAAAAAAGAAAAAGAAGAGAAATTTAAATTTCCTAGTTTATGACCAGAAATGACATCAAGACATAATTAGCAGTGTTGAGTTTTAACATTTAGTTGTATTAAGTTGTAATGGGTAATTGCAATCTAAGAATTAAAAAAAGAACATTTTAAAGACAATGCTATATGTTGTAGTACGACAAGAATAATTCATGAACTTCATTTTTTTTATAGCTAGTYCACAATTAGCGGACGTGTTTTTTAACCTTAACTTAAATGAAAAAGATGACAATAAGGATAAAAAAGAAAAAAACAACGTTAAACATAGCATTTTATTTCTTGAACATGAAAAAAGAAAAAGAAAATTGAAAGTTGATAATTGAACTTTAAAAGGGTTTATACCTCACAGTTAGCGTATGCAGTTCTTTTTTTTGTCACCCCAGATGAAATCCCAGCCACCATACTTTCTGTTGGGTTGTCCAATACCAATAACATCACCAAGCCAAAGAAGAGAGTAAATCTTAAGTTGTTCATCTTTGACGATATAGGGTTAACTGCTGTTAGCATCGACTTCGTATGATTACTTTAGCTTGTTAACTTTATATATATATATGCTGGTGATATTGTTGGCTCATCTTTATTCGTGCTTAATTATTAATAACAATTGACGATATTAGAGAGACCTCGATCTAATTTAAACCTGRTGATCATCTTTCAAGAAACGTTATGCATATATTCCTATATTTGAGCAAACGTTGTCGCTTATGCCCTTCAAACGTATTTATAACAAGCATGGACTGACGGCCGTTATTTATCTAAATTCATAATGTTTGYTGTTTATGAACCAGTAGAATTTTGTGCTAAACGTATAGCGCTAATCCGGTCTTCAAACGGTTGGGTATCTAATACATCATTGTGATTGGCTATTGACCAATCAGCAAAAAAAAGAAACAAGGAAAAAGAAATATGCCCAATAATCGGATATACGTTCGCAAWGTTTTCTATTTTATAAATACATATCTTTATCTTATCAACACCATCTTCTTTCAAAGAGAATAAAAGTAAATTTGGGTGAATTCCTCGAATAAGTTTCCATTACCACAAATAACTTTAAGCTGTACTGTTAAAAATGTTTTCACTCACTGAATATAGTTATTTTTTTCTACTGAAAAACCTATCCAGGTATTATAAATTAAGACTGGCTTACAATATACACACAATTTCAGCAACAATGCTTATTTGGTAAGCTTTTCAAAAAAATATATTTGGGTATGACAAATAGTTATAAATAATTAAGAGAGCGTAGTATTTTTTGAAATTCAAGATGCAACCTTGCGCTTTAATTTCTCGCAATTAGAGCGATAACAAATTTGATWTCACAATCATACCTTTTGTGATTTAATTCCTGATTGACTTCGGTTTATCGAACATGCATATAATATTGAAGTTWTGTTTAAATAAGAGCGATCCCCTATAGACCCCTTGCAGTTCATGGGAATGCAGCTCCAACTGGAGGACAAAACAATAGATTCTAGTTCCCAAGAGGATAAAAATCTTTTGTTTTGTCCTCCAGATGAAGCTGCTTTGACGTCACATGCAAGGGGTCTATATATTACCTTAAGCTTTCTTTTTTGCCTATTTGTAACAGTTTCAAAAAGATTGCACAATGATGTTTTTCTATGATGATTTTTCAAAAATTTGAGAATCATGATATTATGGATTGAATATTGATAAGCCAAATTTCTAACCTTTAAGATTTTTTGGCATATATTCTCAATCTTTCTTCGCGAGATAAAAAGTATATATAAAGTATATTCTTCAAGATGAAAGGCAGTTTTATGGCCGATTATTACAAATAAACGTTTGATATATGATCAGTTTTATGATCCATTTGAAACTCAGTGATGGTTCGTTTACACAGGCAATTTTTGAGGCGATTTTTTGCTATAATTTTTCGGATGATTTTCAAAAATTCAATATATTTGAATTATTCGTCTTATGAGGTGTTTAGTTAGCTCATCACAGTGTAATGAATGAAGGTTTAAAAGTTAATTCTTTAGCATTATTATTAAGGATCAAAAAGACCACCGAAATTGCACAAAACTGATCGGTGTAAAAGGGACCCGATGTAAAATATCTCTCTGACAGAAAAAAAGAAGGGAACAACAGCTAGAGTTTGAAGTTTACGTTATTTCCATYAGTGGACTTTCTTTTGTGATTCAGATTCTGATGACCTGATGCGAAATTAATCATAGGAAATTTGATGAAAATTAATTATAAAATTCTTTGTCCATGTGAGTTTAATAGCACACACAAATTACAGCAGTGCTAACGTTTCATGCATATTTTATGGTACGATCTTTTCATTAAAAATACGACATGGCCTAATAAAACTGCTATTTACTTCCATTCAAAAACATTTTTTTTTCATTTTTTCGCATTATTTGTTGAAATTATTCAAACAATTTCATAAACGGTTAGTGTAACTTTCGTCTTTGTGCGGACAATAGGCCGAGTTGTTCTTTCTGTCAAAATTCTCTCTATGAAGTCAGTTGACACTGGAACAACTAAATATCTAGCCGTACAGTCCAGTGCTACACTCGCACTCGTATTGCGCATCATTTTCCGCACTGTCCAGAACTGATTACTTGAAATCCCGTTAAGTCCTCATAGAATTGACGGTCCAAAAGCATTACATCAACCGTGCTAGGAAACAAAATATTTGATTTTATAAAATTTTTGATATGTAACGCGCGCTCTGATTTGCTGACGGCCGTGTTTATATCAGAGGACAGAGACACGGCTTACTGGCAAAATTTGTTCTTTTTTGTTGCTCGCTATACGCTTGTGTTTCTAAACTTGCTTCTCTCGTTTTTCAACTCCACCGTGTTTATATCAGAGGAGTACAGAGACACGYGCGCCGTTTTAGTATATTTCTTTAATAATGGAAGCACAAAAAGACGTGAAAACGCTTAGAAAACAATTACGTGGACATTGAAAATTGAGTAGGTTGTAAGTTATTATTTAACAAAGCTATATATGGGTCATGTGGAGAGGGTATTATCTCTTGGCATTGATCAGCAGAGTCATGCATCTTCATTAGGCAAATTAAGACTTTAAGACTCCTAATGATTCGCGGTTTTGGGTTAATATCCAATTCATTAGAATACTGCTTAGCATAAAATGTGTGTTTACAGAACGTATTTTTGGTATAAATTGTTATTTTGCTAAAAATCAAACCAAAAAATTGTCGATCATTGACCAGAAAAAAAAAGGTTTTTCCAAAAATGAAAGGTGCATTCTTCCAAACTTTATCAGGTTGCATAAATTACCGGATTACATAAAATATGCTAAGTCAGTTCGTACTTGATGTGAATCGAATGTGAACGTCAATTACCGTTGAAATTACCAAGAAAAAATGGCTATCCTTTTAAATGCGGGTAGAAATTTTTCTTTTTCGCAAATATATCTCGAGTATGCATTTACGATGGGTTTTAGATTGTGTTGCTGTGCACTGGCCCTTGGCAGTTAGGGCCAGGGCCAACATACTAATTTCAGATTCACACAAATAGTTAAGTYGAGTCAAGCATCGTATTAAATTCAATGATCAAGTGTTCAAAGTTGTAATKTAGTGCAGAAAGGTACGTAAAATTGTGCGACTCCTGGGACGCATGGGTGGCCGAGCGGTGAGAGCGCTGGCCTGTCACCTCTGTTGACCCTGTTCGAATCTCGGTCGGGGCGCCATATGTGATTTGAGTTTCTTTCGATCTCTCCCTTGCGTCGAGGGTTTTCCGGATCTTTCCGGGTTTTCCTCCCTAAGTAAAAACGAACTATTTCTATCTGCTGTGCTCCGTGTTCAGTCGTTCCGCGTTGCTATGTAAAGGAAGCGCCTAGCCGGCAGCATGCCTATGTGTAAGTGTCTGTAAAATGTGTCTGTAATATAGCACTTCGACTTGAGAGCGCGTCGAGCTGCGTCTTTCACAATTCAGCACCCGTGCTGCCATGAAGGACGATTAGCACCCAACACCTTTTCCCTTTTYTTTTCCTAATGTAAATGAGCTCAAAACGATGACTTTCAAACTCAGTACTTCTTTGAAGATGAAAATATAACAAAGCCAGCATGACATGGGAACGCTATCCTTTGGGTTGACAGAGCCGCGCTCGCGCTAGCATGTTTTGGCGTGTATTTGCAACTTTTCAAAATTTATATTCACGATTTTCCATACTCAGGTTCAGTGACAAGGCATTGAACCAAGGCGTCAAGGTACAGTGAGCATAAGAGAAAAGATCTGCATTATGACGTAGAAGCTTCAGAACTGTTTACTTATGAATGTACAATACTATGCAGAATTCCTAACATTTATTGTAAATCTGCTACAACTTACTACAATTAATTACATGACCATTATAGGTCTGCATAGTTTGCTTTCAATTCCCTAATAAATTCCGAAGATACATATTTTGTAAATTGAACTGAAGATTCATGCTAAAATGAAGAAACATAACACTTCCGTACTAAGAAGGAAGATGTCTTATTTATTTCTTTCGATCGATTTCGTGATTGGTTCTTGATCACAATAGGTAAGTAAGAGACGAGAAGAATACATAGTCTGAAGGCCTTGGGCAAGCCAACTGGTGGGATTCAATCGAATCAATTTGAAATTCAATCAACCGCACGTGGGGCAATAGKAATTTCTCCCCGTCTCGTTTGATATCAGATTTGATATGTAGGCTATATATGTCATTATGTCATTAAAGCTTCCATATTTAAAGTCATTTTCGCATGAGTGGGAAACGGTGATGACGAATCACGTCCGTACCGTAACCGTACCGTAACTGCATCGTATTCATGGATTCTGATTTGTTGGAATTTTTTTCTGCCCAATCTGATTGGATTGATTTGTATGTACCGTAATTTGCCGAACCGTAATATCGATTGCTGATTGGATGAATACGACACTTGTCGTATTGCGCGTTACGGTTCCGTAAGCTTTACCGTAAGTTCGATCGCTGATTGGGTAAATGCAGTGCTCACGTGATACCGTACTTTARCCGTATCGTAAGCGTGATTCCTGATTGGCTGAGAGACATTCTACCTGACAACTGGTCTAYGTCATCTTGTCACACAACACCTAGTTGCTGAATTAGTTAGTTTGTCAAACGTCCGGGTATTCAATCACTCGCGCGTGACATGTTCAGTCGGTAATTTTCAAGCAGTACTTGAAATGTTTTGTACTGCTTTCTTGACAATATCACTTAAATGTTTTGTTGGGAAAATTAGCCTTTTTTCGTTGTGATTATCATTATTTCTTGCGATTAACTTAAGAAAGGATCGAAGGAATCCGTATCGTAGCCGTACCGTAGCTGTATCGCGTCAGCATCGGTTTCCCACTCATACGAAGACGTTGTATCTAGATCCATCACGCARACACTACATGGCGACAGAAGTGGGATACATCGAATGATGGAAGCCTTCCAATACTCTAATAACCAAAACGTTTGTATATTATCGGGATTTCTCCAAGGACGTTTATAGCAATGAAACCTAGGACGATTGCCACGATTATGGAGACTAGGTCTATGCGATAGCAAGCCTGAT